TTCTGGAGGCCCAAAACACAGAGACTGCTAAGACACCCCAAATAGCCTGGAAGGAGCGCCCCCCACCCCCGAGATGTGGCTGGGCCCCTGCCCCAACACCAAGTGACCAACGAGTCAGCTCTGGGACAGAAGACACCACTCACCTGTGCCATGCTGGACGGCAGGGCCACAGACACCAGCCCCGACAGGCTGTGAGGACGCTCAGAGACATGACCGGGCCAAGGTCAGCAAGGTGGAGACAGGAGACCAGCGTCCCCCCGGCTTTGGGCACTGCCCTTAAATACAACGAAGTTAGGCCCTCCCTGGTGGCGCAGGGGGTTGAAGCATAGCACTGAGAAGCTGAAGCCACTTCAGCAAGAGTTTGATCCCCGCCTGCCCCGGAGGGTAATATTACCCGGAGGTGGTAATAAACCAGCTAGTCTCCTGGCCGTCCGCTGCTCCCCTCGGCAGTGTACTTTGTCAGTCGGCCTGTTCTGCTCCCCATTCTGTTTCTGGTGAAGCCTCTCACCACCTCCACACCTCTGGCTTGTACCCCAGCTCTGTATGTATAAATAAATAAATCTTTAAAAAAAAATACAACGAAGTTAATACAAAGTGGTCATCTAAACTTCGTCCAGCTTAATTCTAAGTATATATACATATTTCACCATGAAATAAATGCACGAGTAAAATAAAGCTGTGGACTGAACAAGGGAGGCCAGAAAATGGGCACAGATGCCCTGGCTCCTGCTGGGCATTTCGTAACTTATAGTTTCAGGCAGCTGCTTGAGCCTTGATTTCTCCATCTGTGAATGGGGATAATCTGTCTCGCCTACTTCACAGGGGTGTTGTGAGAGTAATGAGGTTGTGATATCAGAAGCAGGAATAATTGCTGCTAATTACCCAGCACTTGCTCTGGTTTTCAGAGGGGCACACACCTTCATTATTTATGAAAGCCGATAGCATCTCCGCCAGGGAGGTCTTTACTGTTCTTCTTGTTCATGTAAAACAACCGAAGGTATTGCTTTTCCCCCTATGGGGGCACCAGCCAGGGTGGGGGCACTGGCTGGCGTCGGGGTATCTACAGATGCCGAAGACCCATATGGCCTCATGGGGCTGGCAGTTGTGTCTCGAAAAAGCCATGGCTGTGCCCTCCCTGGTGCCGCAGGGGTTAAGTCTTAGCACTGTGAAGCTGTCCGCAGCCACTGCAGCACAAGTTCAATCCCCGGCCAGGGAGTGACCCACAGGGTGCAGCAGACCTCTCCTGACTGGCCCGCTGGAAGTCCACACCCACAGAGACGAGGACACAGAGTGGCCAGGCTCAGCCATCCCCTGGGCCTCGGAGGTCTTGGAAATGTAGAGAGAATCACAGAAAGCAAAGCCAGGAGAACACACAGAGGCCGGTGTGTTGAAGCAGTGCCACTGGGCCCTCGGAGACTGGGGTTGTCCACACCAGAGCCCAGGAAACGGACAAATGCTCAGAGTGGAGATTCAGGTTGTGGGCACCACAAGGGGGGGCGGATGAGGCACTAAAGCACCCTCGGCTGAACAACAAATGCATGTGGTTGCCCCAGGAGAGTCCCGATGGCAAGAACGAGGCACCCCCAGAGGGGGAAGGAGGGGATCTGGGTGAAGGGCAATTCCCAAGGCAGGTGGTAATAAACCAGCTAGTCCTAAAGAGGCAGGAGAGGAACCTGCCAGACCGTGGGCAGAGGAAGGGGCAGCCAAGAGAAGCCATGGCTTTTTAAAGATTTATTTATGCCTACAGAACTGGGGTACATGTCAGATTTGTGGCGGTGAGAGGATTCACCAGAAAGAGTGGGGAGCAGAGCAGGCAGACTGATGAGGTCCACTGCTGGGGGGAGCAGCGAGCGGGTCAGGAGAGGTCCGCTGCGCCCTGTGGGTCACTCCCTGGCCAGGGATTGAACTGCGCTGCAGTGGCTGTGGACAGCTTCACAGTGCTGAGACTTAACCCCTGCGCCACCAGGGAGGGTCTAGCCATGGCTTTTTCGAGACACAACCGTCAGCCCCATGAGGCCTGTTAGGGAGAACAGGAGGGGTGAACACCCCCACGGGTCTCTTGTGCTGCCCTCAGCTCACCTCTCAGGGCCGCCCGCTGGCCAAGCCCAACGCACGCCCAGAGAGCGAGAGCACCTGGCTGCTGGGCCCTGCAGAAGCAGGATGCGGTCCGTTGGTATAATTACTGCCAATTAGCGAGTTACTGGCTTTCAGACAGGCACTGAAAGTTCATTGTTACTTTAAAGCTGGGTCACCGAGTCAGGAGGGGGAGTCCGGGAGGAGACTACGAGGGGCGCGAGAAGACCACAGTGCAGTGCTGAGGGGCAGGTAGCCCACAATTCAGCGCCGTCCAGAGAGCTCTCCGTTCCAGGCACCTGGGCGCTGCTGCCCCTGGGCCTCTGGCTCTGCCCCCTGGCACACACCTCCCCAGAGTAGAGAGTAGAGAACTCCCCAGCGAGTCTGTTCCTTGCCATCAAAATTACCTGACAGTAAAAAAATGTGAAGTCATTTCCACCATGTTGGAACTGGGAGAGAGCCCAGAACCAAAGTCACAGCCATCCGGGTCTGCGGCCATGTTCTTTCCACACTAAGGCGCAGAAGCGCGGCATCAGGTTATCTGGTAGGAGGCCACCGGAGCGTTTTTTAGAAAGCGGTGGTAGCATGTGCAAAGAGGTATTTCAGGAAGGTTCCACTGGTAGAACCCAGAACAGGTTGGGCGGGAGAGAGACAGAATGTGGACACTGGGCTTTGCTCAAGGGTCCGCACCTAAGCGGCAGGTGGCAGCGTGTGTGAAGGGCGAGAATCACACTCGGACGTGCCAGGCGTGGTGCCAAGGCTACTGAGGGGGCAGCAAGCCCAACAGACGCTGCCTGCCTGGAGCTTCTGGTTGATGCTGAAGCAGATGAGCGAGAGAGGACACAGAGCTAGTGGTGTCAGGTGTGTTTGCATGGGGTGGGGGGAGACAAGAAAAGGACGAGGGGCAGTGAGCGGAGCCAGGAGCGCAGCAGGTGGTAACAAGGCACGTGAGCCTAGGAGGGAAGGGTCATTTTGTTACAGGGTACCCCAGAGTGAAACTGGGCTGCCTGGCTGTGGGTCCTCACCCACGTGCTCAAAATGTAGTTGTTCTGCAGGCACAAACCAAAGGGTAGTGGGTTTACTTACAAAAGGGGGAAAAGGAACAACCCAGGGAAAGAGAGAGAGATACAAGGGAACTGGAATATCTTACCAGCTCGGTTAACGTGGACTTCTGGTAACTAGCTGAGAGCCCCCAGTCACACGATCTGAGAGCCGTTGCCCCACAGAGAGAGCTGTTACCACTGTTGGAAAACCTCTATTTATCCCCCAAAGTCCCAGAATGCCTGCTTAGCTCCGCCCTTGGGTCCTCGCAGTTCTCTCCCTGGTGCTGCTGGGAGTTGTAGTTTCTAGTCACTGGCGTAGGGGGTGGAGTCCACAAGACTCTGCAGAGTGCAGAGTGCCCTTAGGACATTCTTCCCCTTAAGTTTCAAGAAGGGGGCAATGGTCTAGCTGCTGCCCGTGATTACCAAAGGCTGGATCCAGCAGAGGTCCCTGGCATGGAACTGTGGGAGCTCAGGGCGGCTTAATGGGGTGAGAAGCCAGTGGTGGGAGGTCATGGAGGCTCCCAGTTGGGACTCACCACAGAAGTCCTGCGGGTGGGAGACTTGGATGCCCTACACAGTCCGTGGTGACTTGGCGTACTGACCATTCCCTAACCATTGTGCCCTCGCACTCACATTTCTGAAACCCTATTTACACGGTCCAGCCAGTTCTAGGACTTAACTCATGCTGACCAAAAGCATAAGAAACTGATTTATAAACCCACATCTGTTGGGTCATTTTTTCACGAGTGAGATTCATTTCCAGCGATGGACTTCAGTGTGCACTGAAGTTGGCATAGGAGGCAGACCTAAGTCCTGGTTTCCAGTTGCTTCTCCCAGGTTGAAAGTACAAAACCAGGGCATAAAATCAAGGCTTAGCACGGCCGTTCCCCTCAGCACTGTGCTGGCCCTCTTGTCTCAGAAGTGAGGCTGAGTTGCCCTTTAAGACGGGCAGCACCTGGGGCTGTTAGGAACATACTTTTACACTTGACCTTGACTTCCTCTGCATGGACAGCCCATTCTTTTCCTGAGCCTGTAGGCACAGGGTGATGTGTCAGCTTTCTGCTAGAAATGGGGTGCTTTCTGAACCATCTCACGGGAGTTCTGAAGACACTACAGCCCAACGGCTAAGTGTCTCTGAAGGAAACTCAGAGGCCAAGTCTTGCCCTCTCCACTCTGCCACCACTTCCATGCAGACCCCAGTCCTGATTGAGCCAAAATGGACTGTTTATGAGGGGGTCTGCCCTTTCTGGCCCCTGACCCTTGAGTGGGCACTGGTAGAACACAGGACAGGTTGGACGGAAGAGAGACTGGGTTAGCAAGATGTGGGGTATGGCCTGGATCCCCATGTAGGTGAGGGAGAGGAGGAGCAGAGGGGGTTGGGCGGGCCAGGACATGGCCAGACTAGGCAGACCTGTTGCTGAGGGCCAGGACCGGGTGAGGCCCCAAAATTTGGGGGTGACATACTGTCCAGGCCAGGAGGTCTGGTGACACTCTTACAGGATTATTCCCTTCTCTTCCACAGCCACACCCTGCAGAGGTCAGACTCCCAGGAGGAACCATAGGGGCCAAGTAGAACCGTCCCCTTACCTGGCCCCTGGCTCAGGGCAGAGAAACCAAACAGGCAAAGCCTTGTGGACCTTTGGTGACCAGGGAGAGCAAAGGGAATCCCAAGGTGCCAGGTGCATTCCCACCCATCACCCTACACAAATCCCACATGACAAAGGATTAGATGAAAGGGGTAGTTGGACCCTCTCCCATGTAGATGCTTCCTGGAACATTCCAACACCCAGAGCCAGATGTGTCCACCATCTGCAGTTCCCTGGAGACATCCTCAAGAGTGACCCCGACCCAACGGGGTGATTTCCAATCACGGCTGACTCACTGTTAACGTCACCATCTGTTTTATTTTAAAACAGGTCCGCTCTGCATGGAGCGTCAACACAGACGAGGCCAGAAACCCACACCCCTGTCCCAGCAGGCGGGGGGTCGGCGCATGATGGGGGGAAGGTAGACAGAGGAAGACAGACACTGGGCGTCACTCCTAACTCCTGTTCAGGAACCCCAGGGAGGAAACACAAGGATATTTAAGCTCCTTCAGCAATTCTGACCCTCTTGGCTCAACCTGTGATGTCCAAATAAGGAACCTGGGCCGAGGGATGTGAGCAACACAGCAGGACACGCTGTTCAACAAAACTCCCGGACAGGAGGGATGGGCTGTGCTTTCTGATTGGCAATTTGGTCTTTCCTTCCTCCTGTTCTTTGAGCTCCTACCAGTGGAGAGGAGAGGAGAGCAGGACAGAGTAGCCGCTTGGTTTAGTTTAGGGGTTTGTGCTTTTTTTTTTTTTTTTTTTTTTTTTTTTTTTAGAAAAATAAGTCTTTTTGATTAAGAAGAAGACTGACCTATGGTAAGAAATATACTGAGCCAGCTGGCGCCAACCAGAGGCACGCGGTCCCTTTCCAATCACCTTTCCACAGAAAATAGGTGTAGGATTTAGCTTTTAGACTGGAGATACCTTTGATGACTCAGCCCAGCCTTTATGTCCAGCTGCTATTAGAAAATTTGCATTTTATCAAATTATTTTTATGTCCTGTGTCTCCCCTCCAGGGCAGAAAGTAAAGGTTAGAAGACTGCGGAATTCTGTCCCCCTGCCCAGAGGCGAGCTTCGGGGCCTCTCTGCTGGGGACATGGAGGCGCTGGGATTCTGGGACATCTGAAGCCCTGGTCCCCCGAAACGCCAGCAGCCTCCAAGACACCCAGGGTGAGATCGCCACATTCCAGAACAAAGCAGCCAATTTGAAGGGCTTGCATGACAGGTGAGAGGGAAGGTCACCATCCTGGCTCCCCCTGATGTGAAGGGCGTGTCAGGGCAGGGAAAGCCAACCCCTGAGTCAGCGAGGCATCCGGGGAGCAGGCGGTGAAGGCTCACTAGAGGCAGGCTGGGCTGCCAGGTGGCCCTGTTGTGAGAAAGCAAGTGGACACTTTGTTGTTGTCTTCTCCAAAGTGGACACTTCCTGTTTATGTCTAAGATGGATGCTGGTGAAATTATTTATCTGGACCAGGAAAGACAGCGGCTCATGACAATGGATCCAAGTTGAGAGACTGCTTGACTACTCTCACCAAACCAGGCTTGAAAAACAGACAAGGGAGACTGGAGTGTGTACATTTCAGTAGGTCTGAATATGCGACACGCTCACCCCACGCACTGCCAAAGCACTAGATCCCAGACTCCACGGTGTGAGGCTTCCAGATTCCTTTGCATTTTAAAGCCACAGAGAATCAGAACGAAGGTGTAAGATTACAGCTTCTACCACTGCACTACCTCAGCTAGCAGTCAGTTTCTATAGTTTCTCCACTTTCTCTGCCTGTTGTCTTTTACAAAATTTATATTTGAAAAACTTTTCATAAAGTAAATAAATGCACAGAGGAGCCAGGTCTCGGGAATTGGTTTCCCTTCACCCTTTCGGCGGTGGGCTTGGTGAACCAGTGTGGACTTGGGCTGCAGTGGCCAGGCGTTTCCATGGGTCATCATCTCCCACACACTGGGGCTAGGGGGTTGGAAAACTCTTTTTAAAAAACATTTGGCAGAAGGACACAATTCTTCAACTCTTTAGGGCCTGCGAAAACAGAGAAAGGTGACTGTCACTTCTCATACCGGCCTTGTGGATAAAAACCCTGCAAGTGATAGCTCCTATTCTCATTTTGCCAGTCTTCCAGTTTTGGAACCTGGAAGTTCTCTCTTCATCCCACACCCCTCACCCTCACCTCACCCTTCCTCCTCCTCTTCCCTGCCTGGTCCTTCTGGGACCAGATCCCCAGGCACCCCCCAAGTACATTCTTCCGTGACTGTAATGTCAGTCGTGACCTTCAATGCTCAGTTGCATAGAACCAGTCCTCTCTCCCATCGGCCCCATCAAATCTCATCTAACAGATATGAGAAATGTTATTCACTGGCTGAGATGGAATGTTCTAGAATCTTAAGGAATTTGAATAAAGACAAAGCATCCCTTCCTCTGGTTGGTCGGGACAGGAGAGGAGTACACATCCATGGCCAGTGGAGCCATGAACAGGAGCAGATGCTCACCTGGAAGCCACCTACCTCCATGTGCTGGAGCAGAGCTATTAGGTACCAAGTTAAAACACAGTTGGGATTTTCCCTTCCAGCTCAGTCGGTTGGAAAATTAGGGAAAGAGGTCAACTTTGTGCAGATCTCAACAGAAGTTAACTAAAGAGCCATCTCCAGCTGACGCTTCTTGGAAATGTGAATGTGTAAGGCCAAGGAGACACCTGTTCTTCTGGGGTTTGGGGGCTTCTGAACATAACCTTTACTTGCAGGTGTTTTAGCTCAAAGTTTTGCACTCCAGAAATGGCCTCTTTCATGTCCTATCATGGGGGAGGGGGGTAAGGAATTTACTTACGAATACCTTCCTGACATTTTTCTCACGACCACAAGGATGATTCCACCAACGAAGCCAATGGACAGTAAGACCCCAACTATGATTCCAACCAGGGTCACCGTCGCCAAGCCATCTACACGCCAGGAGGAACACATGAGCCCCACATCAGCATGTGTGTCATTTATAGACCCCACCACCCACTAGCATCTCTGGCTTCCCCTGCACCAGGCAGAAGCTGCCTTAGCAGAGAAGACACCAGGTCATTCTAATCCCATCCTATGAAAGGAAAGATTTGGGGGATTTTGGACCCTTCCAGCATATGACTCACTCTGGGGGGCCTCATCATTAATTATGAGGTAGTATTTGTGTCCAGCTACTCAATTATTTTTATTTCATTCTTCACAACAATAAGTTGTGACCTGCCTGCCATCCCGCCTGTCTCTACGTGAACAGACTCTTGTGCTTTGCTGAATTTCAAACACAAATGATTCCCTTTTGTCTCTTCAAAGAGGCTTGACACCTGTTCTCAGAGGGGTTTGTGTTCTGCTCTTGCTAACTACAACCCAGGAAGGAACTTAATTCATCACAAACATTAGGTTCAAAGAAACTCTTTTTGAACCCCCATAAAGGTGTTTTGATACCAAATCCAGCCTACCTTTCTCAATTGTGACCTCGGTCTCTTCACTCACTCTCTCTGGAAAGAAAGAGACATAATGATATAGAATTAATAGAATTTAATAACTATAATTTAACAATTGGCAAAAGATGAATTTACCCTAAGTGGAAGATAGCAAAACACAAGCGAAGAGGATAATTTCTTAACTAAGTTGGATCAGGGGGTTTTTAAGCAAGCTCTGGCGTGATCTTGTCTTCAAAACTATTATTATTGAATAGTTTTTCACACTGATGGGTCCACAGTGCTTTTAGCAATATTCTTTTTTTCTCTTCTACTACAGAGGTAGAGTCCAGGAAGCTGAGCATCAAAAAAATTGAACTGTAAAGATCTTAAACAGCCACAAAGTTTCAGGATTTAGGGTAACAAAGACCAAGAATTCTGGTCCAATGCAAAGGTTGTGGAAAACTCACCAAGTGTTTTAAAGTCTTTTCATTTAATACTCTAGTTTTGAAAGGCAGGACCAAGAAGATGAGTTGTCTTATAATATCAACTCTTTGCTTTTTCTTAAATAGCAAAATCCACATCTTATAGACAGCAGCACGCCCATTAAAGTTTAATGAGAGAACATATATACCGATCACATTTATACCACTGTGATCCCAGGATTTCTGTTTGCGACCAAAACTAATCCCAGAGTTAGAACATGAACATTTTCATGTACTGCCTGGGTGTAAATGAGTTACTTATGACTACCTTCCACGAAGTCATAAAATTATGAGTTTCTTATCATAATTTTAAATCATTTCCATAATTTAAAAAGAGGATTTTTGTTTTATTTAGTTTCTCCCACCAACTTCTTTGTTTATGGAGTCCTTAATTGCTCTGGATTGTAGCATTTATCTAGTTTGCAGATGAAGACAAAATCTCATTTTTTTTTTAAAGAATATTTGGCTTATATGGTCCAGCAATCCCACTCCTAAGGTATCTACCCAAAAGACACAAAAACACTGATTCAAAAAGATACCTGCA